AAAAAAAAAAAAAAAGGAAGTAAGAGAGGTAAAAACATAATTACATTATGTTCCCACCCTCCCACCATTCCCCACAAGAGCCAAAGTTTCTTAAAATGAGTCTTCATATTAATGCACAGTCTCAAGAGCTACGAAGAAAAAGAAAATACTTTAGCCTCAAAGATGACCCTTCCACATTCTCCAAGCTAATCTCCAACTTCATATACATATATATTTTTTTGTTTGTTTGTTTGTTTGTTTTTGGACAGTCTTGCTCTGTCGCCCAGGCTGGGGTGTAGTGGCCGGATCTCAGCTCACTGCAAGCTCCGCCTCCCGGGTTTATGCCATTCTCCTGCCTCAGCCTCCGGAGTAGCTGGGACTACAGGTGCCCACCACCTCGCCCGGCTAGTTTTTTGTGTTTTTTAGTAGAGATGGGGTTTCACCATGTTAGCCAGGATGGTCTCGATCTCCTGACCTCGTGATCCGCCCTGTCTCGGCCTCCCAAAGTGCTGGGATTACAGGCTTGAGCCACCGCGCCCCGTCTAACTTCATATATTTATACGGCCTTCTGTTTTCTCTATCTCACTCATCAAGGGAGAGCCATTAAAAAGTATATAAATGGCTGGGCGCAGTGGCTCACTCCTGTAATCCCAGCACTTTGGGAGGCCGAGGCGGGCAGATCACGAGGTCAGGAGATCAAGACCATCCTGGCTAACCCCATCTCTAATAAAATACAAAAAAAAATTAGCCGGACGTGGTGGCGGACGCCTGTAGTCCCAGCTACCTGGGAGGCTGAGGCAGGAGAATGGCGTGAACTCGGGAGGCAGAGTCTGAATTAAACCAAGCCTTATGCCCTTCTTAAAGGACCAACAGCATCTGCATCACCTGGAGTTTGCAAAAATATGCAGAATCTGGGGCTCCACCTCAGACCTCCTAAATCAGAGTCTGCACTTTACTGATACCTGTATGCAACTCTATGTTCATCAGAAAATCTCAGAACTGGTAGAAAATTTAAAAGCCCATTGCACACACATAAAGACAGATGAGCCCTGGATAACAAATAATTGATAATGACCATAGTGCCCCTTCATAAATTATTTCCTATAACAATAGGTTCTCCTTAAGAAACATTTCTTGCAAAACTACAAACGGCTTGTCTTGAAACACACCAAGGCTTATTACAGGTATTGTTGTTAGTAGAAGTCACCGACATAACCAAGTTCTTACCTAATCTGAGCTCTCCGAAGTTCCCACACCCTATCTTCTTGCCAACCCTGAAGTTGGGTCCCACCATAAGAACCCCAGAGGATGACGAGGAGCCAGATGGTCGAGAGCAGTGTGCACTCCTTTGTGCCATGGGTTTAGTTGTCCGTTGTCTTTCATCCTTTTCCCTACTAGGATGGTCCATGATCCTACAGGACAAAGTCTCCGTACACCAAGTAGCTTCAGTGTGTATACCTCTCTTCAATACAAAAGTATGTCCAAATAAATTGTAGTCAGAGAAAGGTAAGGAGTTCTTTTAGCACCATATTTGTTTCTAATGTATCTCCGGGAGATGAAAAACCATTGATTTGTTCCTGTATGAAATGTAGTCACTAGGTCTCAGGCTTAGTTGAACATCTTGTAACCTAGGTAAAAATCAAGAAAACACGTAGTTAAAAATTAAATTTTAAAACAAATTCAGAAAGTCTCTACTAATTAGAATGAATCCTATCCAAAGGTGAGCAAAATGCATAGCTTCCTGAAATGGGTTTTGGTTTTCTATCCTCCAACAGTTTAACATCTAGATTAGTTATTCACATGGTATCATAAGCTCAGGAGGCTGCAAACCATAGAAGCTAAGGAAACACACAAGCCTTAAATATAAAATGCTTTCTTCTAGTAATGTACATATGACCAAAAAGAAAGACAATTGTTGTTTTTTCCATCACTGGCTAACAGAAATACATAGCAGTGCTGAAACCAAGTTAAAGAAACTGAGGACGATTTAACTTTAAGCTCTTCCTTTTAATTTTGCCAAGACTTATAAGAAATTAGACTATTCACTGCCCCATTCCCCTATCCCCACCATTTACCAAGTACCGGCAAGAATTATGTATTCTACACTTACCAATCAACACAGACAACCTCTATGAAGGAATTTCCAAAACTCTATTGGTATTAAGTAGTCCTAAAATTCTGAAAAGCCAAACTTTTGGTGGTTTTTGCTGTATACTGAGTATGCAATGACATAGCGCCAAAAAGAGATCCTTTGCAGAACCCCAAAGTGAAAATAAAGCAAAAAAACAAAAACAAAAACAAAAAATCTTAAACATAACATTCATCTCTACCAGAATTCTGCAGTGTCCAAATTCAGGACTGAGCCCAGCACAAATGTTTGCAATGAGATAATTTTGATGCTATGTTTGATTATCCATGTGAATAATCTTAACAAAAAAAAAAATACTGTTACCACTAATCACATACTAAACACACATTTATATTTCACTTTCATAAATGTTTTCCTTAAAACTTAAGGGAAGAGAAGGCTGGGTGTGGTGGTTCACGCCTGTAATCCCAGCACTTTGGGAGGCCAAGGCAGGCAGATCACCTGAGGTCAGGAGCTTGAGACCACCTGGCCAACATGGCAAAACCCTATCTCTACTAAAAATATAAAAATTAGCTGGACGTGGTGGCAGGCACATGTGATCCCAGCTACTCGGGAGGCTGAGGCAGGAGAACAGCTAGAACCCAGGAGGCGGAGGTTGCAGTGAGCCAAGCTCGTGCTACTGTATTCCCACATGAGTGACAGAGTGACATTCCGAGAAAAGGAAAGAAAGAAGGAAGGGAGGGAGGGAGCAAGGAAGGAAAAAGAAAGACAGAAAACTTAAGAGAATTAGAACAAATGTTTGGTTATCATCACCAGTTACACAACAGAGCAAAGATGCCTACACTCTAAACTTCCTGAGGATACCTGTAATTCCCTACTAAAGTAACAGGCAAAAAGCTGTCAGCTGACTGTACAAGTGGGCACATAATCCAATAATACAATCTGTTTGCTTTATTTATTTACTTTTGACATGGAGTTTCACTCTTGTTGCCAAGGCTGAGTGCAATGGCGAGATCTAGGCTCGCTGCAACCTCCACCTTCCAAGTTCACGCGATTCTCCTGTCTCAGCCTCCGAAGTAGCTAGAATTACAGATGCCTGCCACCACACCCAGTTAATTTTTTGTATTTTTAGTAAAGATGGGGTTTCACTATGTTGGCCGGGCTGGTCTCGAACTCCTGACCTCAGGTGATCCACCCATTTGGCCTCCCAAAGTGCTGGGATTACAGGCATCAGCCACCGTGCCTGGCTTCTGTTTGCTCTATTATAGTTTAAATAAACTGCTTATTTTCATTTTTTGTTTGTTTTGCTTTACAATAGATTTCCATTTATAATGTATATTCTGTAAAGGAAAAAAAATCAAAGCAATGAAAGGAGGTCAGCAACTACTGAACTTCCTACATGAACAACATTAAGAATTCATATTTCCTTATTGTTTCTCCTATTTCCAACTATATCCACTATCCCCTGATTATCCTCGTCTTTAATCCAAATCCCTCAAATGATATTAGAAAGAGAAAAAAACATCATAATTACTGGGAGTATGTCTATGTGTGAGACTGCCAACTATATTTCCTTCCATTATAAATTAATATGAGGACAGAGGCAGAATGTGTCTAGTCCAATTCAGTGAATTTATAAGTATTCAAGAACTCACAAATTTTCAAAAATTATCACTATGATAGCCTCATTTATAAGATTTGGAAACTGTATTACATTGTCTATTTCTCTTCACATTTTTCATTTTTGCTCACTCTGTTTCTTCCAACAAATGGATGTTATTTTTATAATACTTTGCATTAATTTCTTCCATTGCACTTAGACTAGTATAACATTAGGTGGACTAATCACACATAGCCCTCATTATCCATGTTTACTTACATGTATGTATTAGAAGAATTAGAATTCTAAAAACCTGTAGAAGCCAGGTGCAATGGTATATGCCTACAGTCCCCAGCTACTTGGGAGGCTGAGATGGGAGTACTGCTCAAGCCCAGGAGTTTAAGGCTGGAATGTGCTATTATCATGCCAGTAAATAGCTACTGAACTCCAGCCTGGGCAACACAGAAAGACCCTGTCTCTAAAAAATAAAAAATTAAAAAATTAAAAATTAAATTTAAAAAATATATATTAAAAATTAAATTAAAAAAAAAAAAACCCTATAGAAAGCCAAAAACTGTCCGGGCGTGGTGGCTCGTCCATGTAATCCCAGCACTTTGGGAGGCCAAGGTAGAAGGATTACTTGAGCCTAGAAGTTTGAAATGAGCCTGGGCAACATAGGGAGATCCCATGTCCACAAAAAATTTAAAAATTAGGGCCAGGCACGGTGGCTCATGCCTATAATCCTAGCACTTTGGGAGGCCAAGGCGGGTGGATCACCCGAGGTCAGGAGTTCAAGACCAGCCTGGCCAACATGGCGAAACTCTGTCTCTACTAAAAACAAAAAAATTAGCCAGGCCTGGTTGTGCCGGCCTGTAATCCCAGCTACTCGGGAGGCTGAGGCAGGAGAATTTCTTGGACCCAGGAGACGGAGGTTGCAGTGAGCCGAGATCATGCCATTGCACTTCAGCCTGGGCGACAAGAGCAAAACCCCGTCTTAAGGAATTAAAAAAAAAAAAAATAGCTGGGCATGGTGGTGCACACCTGTGGTCCCAGTGACTTGGGGAGGCTGAAGTTGAAGGACTGCTTGAGCCTGGGAGGTTCAAGGATGCAGTGAGCCATGATTGTGTCACTGCACTCCAGTATGGATGACAGAGCAAGACCCTGTCAAAAAAAAAAAAAATAGTCAAAAATCTCACTCAGCTGGGGAAAAATGTTCATAACACCTACTTGTAGAACAGAACAATCACTTTACTTCCCACAGCCATGACAAAAACTGACACTAAAGGTGCTGTGTCAATTTTCTAATCTATGCATGGGACATAAGCATTGCTCAATCTATAATTATGAAAGATGAGGCCGGGCACAGTGGCTCATGCCTAAAATCCCAGTACTTTGGGAGGCCGAGGTGGCCAGATCACCTGAGGTCAGGAGTTCAAAACCAGCCTGGCCAACATGGTGATGCTCTGTCTCTACTAAAAATACAAAAAAATATTAGCCAGACATCGTAGTGGGCGCCTATAATCCCAGCTACTTGCGTGGCTGAGGCAGGAGAACCGCTTCACCTGGGAGGCGGAGGTGGCAGTGGGCTGAGATCGCACCATTGCACTCCAGCCTGGGCAAAAAGAGCGAAACTCCGCCTCAAATAAAGAAAGATGAATAATATCCAATACTACTTTATGTGGCATCTCTCATTTAAGAAATTAAAGTTACTAAGTTTTTTAGAATCCTATTTCTTTATCACTACCCTCTGCTCAATTACAAACTCTTTGGCGTATCATTTGAACTCTCTACTTAAATTCATGTAAAACAGTATATGGGAGGTTTCATGAAGTCTAAAAGAAAATTAAGTCGTATTATAAAAGCATCAAAAAAAGTTTCACTAATTTACTGTTTGTGTATTTCAGATTCTCATATATTGGCTTTATCAAAAGTGAGGCACATAAATATTTAAATTTCAAAGTCAAAACACCCTGGGTTTTTGTTAATAATCAAAAGAGAGAGTGCCAGGCTTCTAAATCTCTCTTCTTACACAACTTATGATGAACTTATTTATAGGTATAGGACTGCTGGATCATATGGTAAGTGTATGTGAAACTCAAAAGCAAACCAGGCTCTTTCTGATCTACTACTTCTTCATCCACCACATATTGCTTTTGGTCCTCATGCTTGCTGTTTCTTGGTTATGAGTTTCAGCTTCAGGCATCACTTCCCATGCTACTGTCCAAAACAGAAATAATACGACAAAAACAAAAGTCTTTCTCCTTGTCTTTTTTCTTTTAAATTTTTTTGGTCAAGGATAAAAATTATTCTAAGAAACATCCCAACAAATTTCCCCTTATGTTGGGTTGCCAATGGTTTTTGTACCAATATCTGCTATTCCAATTGTAAGCTTTTCAAAGAATGAGATCAAAGCCTAACCTGATGTTTAAAACACAGGGTAAGTTTCAAAAGCAGTATCACACCCAGGGTAAGTATCTAGCAAACATTAAGCAAAAATGGTATCTGTGTGCTCATGTGCACACATGAATATGTGTTTATAAAACTATCAAAAACTATAGGACAAATTAAAAGACGCTGTAGGACAATTTAAGTACCAATACAAGGCTTGAAATGCATTTAAGCTAAAACAAAACAAAACAAAACAAAAGGCCAGGTGCAGTAACTCGTATCTGTAATCCCAGTGCGTTGGGAGGCCACAGTGGGAGAATCACTTGAGCCCAGGAGTTCAAGACCAGCCTGGGCAACAAAACGAGATCCTGTCTCTACAAAATAAAAATAAAAATCGGCCAGGCAAGGTGGTGCATGCCTATGGAACCAGCTACTGAGGAGGCAGAACTGGGAGGACTGTTTGAGCCCAGGAGTTCAAGGTTGCAGTGAGCTATGATAGTGCCACTGCACCACTTCAGTATGACCCTGTCACCAAAATAAATAAATAAATA